CCTTCTGTATAAAATGTGATTAAGGATTACTCTAGTTGGTCTCTGGGGGCATATGAGGTTATAGCAATAGAAATGTATCCTCAAAATAAAGTATTAGAGAAAATCAAACCATTACGCGCTCATTTCCTCTTCCGCCTACACACAACTTTGTGTATTAAGAGTCATTTATTCCTATTAGAAAGTAGCTAGGCTTGAGCGGGTTCCATGTTGGCACCAGTGAATCCAAGACAAGCAGTTTTGGTCATGAATATACAGTAAGTAGAGCGCAACGATTAGGGGAAAACATCAAATTACTTTTTTTCAGACAAGCCTTGCGATTAAATTAGATTTGCGATTGCGATTAAAGAAGACCTGTTGTGTTTGTGTATGATTTGTAGTAGTAGTAGTTATAATTTACACATTAAATTGCAATATTTATCTAAAACAACTGACTTCCATGTTAGAAAACTTGCCCAGTGGGAGTTGGTGTCGCCGGAAACATCATCACAACAAAGAGCCATGCAGTTGTCGACACCTCCAATGGATAGCTGCACATCAAGAACCCATCCGTCCATTTTCTTCTGCTTATCTGGGACCCGGTTGCGGCGGTAGCAGTCTAAGCAGGGACTCCTAGACTTCCTTCACCCCAGACACTCCCTTCAGTTCCTCCAGGGGGACCTTGAGGCGTTCCCATGCCAGCTAAGAGACATAGTCCCTCCAGCGTGTCCTGAGTCTTCCGGTGGGACATGTCCGGTGCACTCTATTAAACCAATTTTTATCAACCATTTTTATCTGCACGTACTGTAGATAAAAATTTAAATAAAACTGGAGAACAAACTAAGCACAGAGCAGTTGGTGTATGCTTGTGCCGCAGAAAAACCGAGGTTGATCGACAAAATAGCATCTTGAAATTAAGTGATTTCAGATTTCTCAAAATATGCACGAATCATTCCAAACTAACACCATTAGCAGTTTTTTTTTTTATTAGTCAGGATTAGACAGGATACTCGTTTATGAAGGAAAATTATGATACTTCAAAAACTGTAGCCTTTCTCTTTTCTACAATTTTTTTGTTTTGTTTTATATTATATTATCATTGTTATATTACTCTTTTTTTTTAATTTGATCTACTTTTTTATCTTCAATTTGCGCTTTCTATTGAACCAAATTTATCACAAATCTTGATTAAAAACACTACATATATACATAATACAAAATACTTTTTTCTCTTTAGTACATTTTTAAACAGGTAATAGTTTTTTCTTATGTTGATTTTTTTCACATGATACTTTTACTTTTATGTGCGTGTATTTTTTTGCTCCGGTATCTGCGCTTTCACTTACAACTTGAGTACTTCTTCCACCACTGTTTTTAGCATTTTATTATCTGATTTTCCGTACTTCTCACAACCCTACATGCAGCTCTAAAAATAAGCTTGTCAAACTCCACTCTGCAGCAGCGTGCAGTGTGCAGAGAGCCCAGTGTGCAGTGTGCAGAGTTTGCAGTGTGCATGCCTGTATGATTGCGAATTAATGAAGGAGGTGTATGCGTGGCAGGCTGGCAGCTGGGCCCATGTTTTTCCACTCGAAGTCTACAGCAAATGCCAGGCTGTGGAACCTCGGAGCCAAGCTAAACATACGTGCGCTGGCCGGCACACTCGGACGGGCCAGATAAAGTATCAACTCGGCAAATTAGCCCCAACCGCAAATATTTACTTTGGTACTCACAGCACTGCTTCGAATCCACTGCACGCTTTTTCAATTCGAGTGACAGTGTGGGGGATAGGTTTAGTGTCACTGGTCGCTGTACAGGAGGAAGGAAAATCTAGTTCAGAAGAGAAAGTAGGCTGATTTAACCTTTTGCATGCAGGCTGGAAGGTTAAAGGTTCTATATTGAGCAAAATTGACTCTTGTGAGCTTTAAGTCGTGTTAGAAAGGTATTACGTCATTGTAAACATGCCCCGAGTTGTGTTTTGTTTCATTCACACATTCTTGAGTACCGGTAATCCTGGTTTACTCATTTGGTTTCGTTTCCCAAACTCATAATGCTTTGTTCCACCTTGTGATGTCACAAAGCAGTAGTTTTAAAGTTAGCAGCTACTTTTTGCCTTTTGTTAGTAGTGTAAGTAAAGCGGTAAAGATTGTAAATTCCATGGCTGAAATTATCCAGATGATTCTACTGAAAGTGTATGGAGTTTAAAAACACAATGGAGCACTTCATCACAGGGTGGGACAGAGTGTTTTCTATTTAAGAGAAGAACTCAGCCTAAATATGCAGGATTTATGTGTTAAACATGTGTGAATGAAACAAAACACAACTCCAGGTGTGTTTGTGATGAGGAAAAAACATTATAACTCGGATCAGAAAATAGCACAATACGGGCTCTTTAATCACAATCTACTGAGGTTGTCAAAAGTATCGAAAATCAGATACAAATCGATACTAAAACTAGTATCAATACTAAAAACATCACATTCAAAAGGACCAAAATTAACCTTTCTGAAATAGGGTTTATAAAGATCTTGAGCTGTGTCAATAACTAGTACAAAACCACATATACCCGGATGAATGAGGAGTTACACAGATATAAGGCCACGTGGTAAGATAAAAAGAAAGAACCATGATTTAATGCACATTCTATTGAGTAAATAAAGCGTGTTTTTTATTGTCAGCCTGGTATCGAAATCGGCATTGAGTTCAAGTTTAGTAATCCAATTTAGTAGTCATTTTAGTATCATTTTAGGGTGTAACAATCAAAGTTCTCACAATAATATCGTGTTCCATCACAATATTTCGAATTAAAAGTCTTTGATTAACTAAGAGTTATGGTGCAGCAATAGCTAAAAAAAAAAAAAAAAGACAGAGGGAACTACATAGACCATGATCCTTTGCTCCATTTCAATGTAGACTACAAGAAGTAATAACAGTTCTAAGTACTTTTAAGTCTTAGTTCTTTGGATTAAGGTTTGTCAAGACATTTTAAGAAGAAATAGTAGCATTTTAACAGTTTTGTTCACAGCCTCCACAAAATATCGCAATAAATACTGTATCGTGAGGTGTATATTGTGAAAATAGAGATTTGGATATTGTTACACCCCTAATTGTGAGCCTCCCCACCGTATTGTGAACTTTCCCACGATATCGCAATAAATATCGTACCGTGAGAATCCGTGTGTCCCGCTCTGGTCCCAGTCCTGGATCAGTCCTGGTTCAGTCCGTATGCGGAGCAAAAGTCAGTTTTTTCCATTCTTCATTTAAACACAAAATCAAAAACTGAAAAAACAACTCATTATCCATTTTTTCATTTTGGTTTTGCACACAAATAATTGAAGAAAACTGTTTTTTTCATTTTCTTTTTTGGTTTTATAATGAAAAACGAATGATACACGAATTCATGAGGTTCATACCGTGACGATATCATATCGTGAGACTTGGATATCATTACACCCCTAGTATCGCGACAACGCTACAAATTGAAATCAAATTTGAATGGACGCAATTAGCAAATGGTAAATGTAATGCTTTTGCAACTATAATCACAATTGCAAAGCTTGTCAGAAAAAGTGCATGTAGTAGATACTTTTTTTTCCCAAATGGAATTCAGGCCCAGTGTTTTTGGTCACAGTACAGGAGGATAATCCAGTGCAGAAGTATCCTGATTTAACCTGTTGTGTGTATATAGTGTGCGCTCTGCGGGGTTACTTAAGAAGGCCCGGGCTGCTGTAAAGTATTGTGCATTGTTCTCCACGGAGCCACGAAGTCTGCTCTCTTTAAACCTGGCTGCTGCACACTTCAGCTCTAAATTTGTATATCAAAAGAAAGCAGCAAGTGCCTTTGAGCGGCTTCCTGCATCATAATAATACACACACAATTACATAATAAACAGAACTGTGATAACGTATATTGTAATAACGTAGATAATACTTCCTACAACTGTACAACAACTCACCCTTATGTAACAGATAATACTCCCTACAACTGTACAACAACTCTCCCTTATGTAACAGATAATACTCCCTACAACTGTACAACAACTCTCCCTTATGTAACAGATAACCCTATGTCCTGTCAATCATAATTTCATCTTTGCACAGTTTTCTCCTTACAACATCTTCTATATAACTGCGATATATTTGTATTACTATATTTCTATTTTTTATTTTTACTTGTACATTGCATTATTTAACACCAATCTTTTGCTCTTATTGGTACTTATTTTGAATTATTATTACCATTTATATTCTTGCACTTGTTATTAAATTACATTGTGATGTGTGAGCTACTGTGTCCAAAAAGTTCCCTTGTGGATCAAACCACAAAAAAAAAAAAAAAAAACAACAACAAAAAAACCTAACAATGTTGTAATAAAATCTGTAAATGATATGACCCTTTCGAGTGCTTCAGTTTTGTTTTGCTTTGTTGTTACTTTCCTAAATTTGAAACGGTGACAATAAAGACCATGTGGTTAAAAAAAAGGCTGTTAAATTATATGACCCATTTAAGTGCCTATTTTTTATTTTGTTGTGTTATTTTTCTAAATCTGAACCTGATCTTTTGGCTGAAGAGCAGCATATGCCCCATCCAAGTCACACTCCAGCCCGCTAACATTTCACAGAATTTGAAGTTTGTTATAATCATGTTATGTTTTCGAGTTCATGGCGGGAACAGAATCTGCTTTTCAACACTTCCACGATGAAATACACCCGTTATTTAACTCCCCGGTTCTAGTGTTATCATTATGACCACTTTTAATGCCTCACAATGACTTATATTTCAGTGATAGCTGTAATAAACTCCCAGAAAATAATAAAACCTATTACACTCAACTGGCTTTTGTCTATGTAGGAGCCACAGTCTTCCCGGCCCACGTCCCTCTGGTCCCTAACCTTGTATGGTCATGTTATTGTCACACTGTTGATACTATTGTAAATGGCGGCGCTTAAATCATGTTAATGTCGACTGAGCAGGGGTTTCACAATCTCAACGCTGTTTTTAATGTGTGGTTTGAATCTGTTTTGCAGTGTCGGGACTGGAGTACGGCCGCTTGAAGTCCAATGTGACTCTGGCATGTGGGAAGTCACCAATCAGGTATGCTACTACAAATACTGGTACACAGACATGCCAGGGTACTAGTTCCTGTAAGACATTCCTAATGCGATTGGAATTCTTATTAGACAAAACCAGCGACATTTGCAAGTAAACATGATATAGAACAAAATCCATTAAAGGGTCAGCATTACGCTGTTTTCTGATCTATGTTCTAATGTTTCCTTATCACAAACCCAGTTGTGTTTTGTTTCATTCACACTTATTTGACACACGCACACACATGTTACACTCAAACAGAATACACGCTGTTCCACTTTGTGATGTCATGTGGTAATAGAGGGACTGCTCCACTGTTTTTAAACTCTATACAGTTTCACTAGCATCATTTGGATAATTTCAGCTCTAGAAATGCCAATCACTTCTGAACACAAGGTAAGAAAAAAATTGCTGTTAACTTGAAAACTTCATGACATCACAAGGTGGAATAGAGCATTTCGAGCTTTTGAGATGTAGAGGGCCAAAATTAAAAACTGGGACTAAGTCTAAAAATTTTATTGAAAAATTTCAACAACATCTGCACGTTTTCTCTTCTTTCGAGATATGTAATGTTAAACTTTTCTTATTAAAATAAATGTTTAATTATAGTTTTGCTTTAACACTGAATCCAGAACAAGCAAAATATAAAATAATAACACATTTTTTAATAAATAATGTCTCTATAGTCTATCTGTAGCCGGCGTGCCAGCTCTAATACAAATTTGATATGATCTCACTTGCCAAATATAATTATATTGCGGGCCAAATTTGGCCCCCGGGCCTGAGTTTGAGTTTGTCTGTAATAGAGGGTTACTGAAAAATGTGCGCTTGATTTTGTCCAAAGGCATAATGGCAGTATGCACTAGTTATTTATTTATTTTTATTTAGTTATGCATTGCATAAAATTCAGAATACCCTTCTCCAGACCAGACTTTAACACTGATAGTTACTTTCAAACCACTGATTGTTATTTTGGTTAGAGCTGAGACGGGATCTGACCGCCAACAAGATCACTATTCTCAACTTACAGAGTAGGACTGACACAATGTACCTTTGCCAACATTGAGAAGCAAACTAATGAGAAGGCATAGCCAAATGATTAGAGCCGACGCTGCTCAAATACTACAAATAGCTACACAACTTGGTTTCACGCACTTACATTATGTTAGTGTTTGTGTTTGCAAACATGATCAAAGTCCCTTTAAAATGAAACAGATGTGGGTTAGAGTACACACTAATTGTTGACATCCCTGCTCCCCCCCAGGACGCCCGTGGTGTGGCATTTTAACCACAGCTCAGAGTTGCCATGGCACCAAGTGACCTCCAACGGAAGCCTCATCCTCCTGCAGACAGACCACTCGGCCCAAGGCGACTACAGCTGCTATGACAACCAGGGCCTGCTCGTGCGCTCCCTCAGGCTCAGACTCGGATGTAAGTTCGGACACTGTCAACACCACTTTTACTTCATATCCTGTTTATTAGTTACATTTGGAGGACCTTTGGACTCTTAGGTTACGTTCAGACTGCAGGGCTTAATGCTCAATTAGAATTTTTTTGCGAGGTTGTTAATTTCCAATTAAATGCAATTTTTATCTGATCTCCAGTGTGAACTTTAAACGCCCCAAAAGTGTCCCACATGTGCATTGGAGGACACAACGAGAGAGCGTGCTCAGTGTTTATGGAAGTCACCTAAACATGGACGATAGAACTTAAGCAGCTGGGGATTTTAAAGTTGCTGTCGTACCAGAGCCAGAACATGTACAGCTTATTTGTTTTAAGGAGGAGACTGAGAAGGAGAAGGACAATGGTGTTTTGTGGGGCAGTGGCAGCAACATCCGTAGAAAGGAACGTGTGGGTGCGGAGTCACAGCCAAGAGTTGTGGGATTGCTCTGTGCTTCACTGCTTCACTGACACGGAGTTCATACACAATTTTTGTATGACAAGAAGAACGTTTTTGTACATTTCTGATGCGTAGGTGGGATGAATGCGACCTGGTCTGGCTGTTTAGACTTAAGTCGGATGTCAAAAGATCGGATATGTATCAGTTTTAGGAGCACATATCCAAGTGGCCTGGGTCATATTTGAAAAAATCGTATCTGTGTCGTTCAGACTGTCATTAAAAGATCAGATACAGGTCGCATAGGGGTGAAAAAATCGGATTTGGGTCACTTCAGACTGCAGTCTGAATGTGGCCTTACTTCAAGATCTGTACCTGATTTCTTCACATGTATCTGAGCAAAATTTGCCCTTGCCCCAGTACATATATAGTTTAAGCAGCTCTTGAGGTCAAAATAAGTCTGCTGTGTTCTGTCTGCATCTCATTAGAAAGCATTTTATGGTGTGATAATCAGAAAGCGTGTGTTAGTATGCTAGTTGTCAGCTTTAACCATCTGGGCAGCAGTCTCTGAAATTAGTTAAAAGCACTAATAAACTCATTGCAGTGAAACGTCTGAAGTGAGAAATAACTTTAGACCACTGCAAATCTGTTTTTCATGTTTTTTTTATTTTAAAATCAGGTACAGCATGTTTAATCGCTACGGCAACAGTGGTGCTAATTTTTCATCTCTCTGAAACCCACTGATACAAAATGAGATAATGGGATCAGGGAGTGTATACTTTCCCATTAATCTGCATTTATCTACGGAAATATTGCACGTCAGATAGGTTTACATTACTCGGTTTATCCAGACACAAGGATTCTTTTAGTGAGGAAGACAAATGGTTAGTTTTGATGGAAAAAGTTGGAAATGTGATGACAAGAAACAAGAACATTAATAATCACTCCTGAATCGAAACACAAAGGCTGCAATTTCTCATGATTTACTTCGCAAACAACTTATTCTGTGTTATTCTCATTGGAAAAAAAGTGATTCTTGCAGTGACAATAGCTCAGTTCATCGTGTTCGTCCACTAATTCGAAGATTGGAGGGTCGAGTCTCGCTCTTGACATAAGCTTTATAAAAATGTGACGATTTACGATTAGTTCTCAGTTTATATTTCAGTTTTTTTTTAGTTAATTCTTAATTTTGAATTCTTCTGGACGTGTTTAAAATGTGAACTTTGAAAGAAATTCTTTGATTAAAACATAATCTAATAAAAAAAAATGCAATTACACATTTTCTCCAGTACAGTACATGATGATTCTACTGACTTCCTTTTAAATTCTCTGAAACGGAATTGAACAATGTAATGTAATTTCTCATAAATTTTGTTATTTCTATTTTCAAAATTCTCAAGAAACCAGGCCAGTGAAGCAAGGTCCTCTGTGGTGAATGAACTTGGTTGTTACACAGACAAAAGCTGTCCACTTCCTCTGACTGTTCCTACAGGAAATGGGCTTCCGTTTTGGGGACAGAGCGCTATCGAAGAATGATAGAGAGGGATTTTCCATCACACGTGACATTCCACAGAATATTGTGCCAAAGGGGAGCTGTCGTGCTCTAGAGACATTTAGGGACAATTTATACATAGTTGTTGCTTAAGTTTGCCAAAAAAAAAAAAAATCAAAGATGGACTTGTGTGTTTTTTGTTTCATTCATAAATGTTTACTTATCTTTCAATGCCTTACAGTGAGATGAAAAAAAAAAAAACTTGGATCTCACCGATGAAGAATGCAGACTGCTATTTTTATTTATTTATTTATTCAAACATGACTTATTTGAATTTTCAGGAATATAGCCAGAGCCGGATCTAACCTTAAGAGGGCCCTAAGCAAAATTTGACCTTGAGGCTCTGGGGATATTTGGCTAAAATATTGATCATTCACATTCCAGAGCTTTACTACATGTATCTGAAATACCCACATCAGACAGTAAAGTACAAAGGCAATAATAGAGGCTGAGAACATCAACACCACCAACAAATAAGTAAGAACACTTTTCTTATGATCAACCAGAGGGGGCTAGGAGAGGAACTGCTCAGAAAATGTTCAATATTATAGAAATGTTTTCCTGTTTTCTAGTGCCTCTGAATGTTTTTTTTTCAATAGTGTGATTACATATAACAAATCAGAAAGTAATATTTACATGGAGAAGCAAAATGATAAAACTAACTTGCGTAGTCTGCATATAGAAAGATCCGGCTCTGTATATAGCAGTGTTTTATTTGAATTATCATAGCAACATTTTATTCCGCTGGGTATTCCACGCGTTTTAAAACTGAAAAAAAGAGGGAAACATATCAATATAGGTTTACAAAGACACTGGTTACATTTACATGGCCAGTGAAAATCACCCAGGCTGGCGCCACCTACTGTCTCCTCTCAATTTAATTTCTCTTCAGCGACTAGGTCAGGAGCCATACATTCTGTGTTGACAACAATTCCCGAGATCGAGGATTTAAAGCCGGAACAAAGAGAATATTTGGTGAATTTTATCAAAGGGAAAGACATTATTGCCCTTCTTCCTACGGAATTTGTGAAAAGCTTAATATATATACCAGTTAGCCCAGTTACCGGCGCATTACCGTTAAGCGAACTAATTCTAATGCTGTGTGGTCAGACGGTTTCTACAAAATGAAACTGGCTGATGAATCAGGCGAAGTGAAAATCAGATAACCCAATAATTAGATTCAATACAATTTCTGTTGTGTGTTTAGATGTTGGGTGATCAAAAATGCCTAGTGACATGTAGTTAATTAATAAATATTTAAAATAAATTATTTCAGTTATTACTTTTTTTCATAACTTGTCAAAATCTGCGCGGGTATGAACAAACAAAAAGAAATGACTTATATTATACTGTATGTAATGGTTTACATGACATACAAAGCTACCATCTGTAATTAGTCTGCAGTGTGATAGTGTGTGAGCTTTGATCTGACAGAAGAAAACCAGAGCAGAGGTGAGTCTAAACAGAGGACAGGTGAGGAGAGGGGGCAGGGGCAAACAGGTTTCACAACTGACATTTACTAGTGAAAAAAAATCACATACAGATGGTGGCTTTTACTCCAGAAGTCATGTAATGATCAGATTTTTGCTATGCTATGTGAACTTAACCACAAATACAAAACTACAGGGCCCGTATGTTACTATTTTCAGATCTGTTATAATGTTGTTTCCTCATCACAAACATCCCTGGAGTTGTGTTTTGTTTCATTCACACATGTTTAACACACACACCCTGCATGTTTATATTTATGAGTTCTTCTCTCAAACGGAAAACACTCTGTTCCACCTTGTGATGTCATGTTTCAACACAAGTGCTTCAATGTGTTTCTAACCTCCAAACACCTTCACCTTCACATTTTGAGCTTTGGAGATGTAGATAGACAAATAATAAAGGGTTACTCAAACATGTGTGAATGAAATGATTAGTTATTGTGCCACAGTTAAAACCCAGTGTAAAAGTGTAAAAACCTTTAACCCACTGAACTGTGCCCTATCCCTTTTTGCTTGACTCGGCAGTGACCTTTTGCTGCTTCTGTTTCCTAGATCCTCCAGGCCCTCTGAGTATTTCCTGTCGAGTACCCAGTCACAAACACGTCCTCTGCTCGTGGGCTGACTCTGCAGACACCAACCTCCCGGCTCAGTACACTGCCTCGTACGGGTAAGGTTTAGGAAGAGCATTTGTGACTCACTGAACAACTGTTGGCTAATGTCTGACAGACTTGTTTAACAGCACAAATCAGCTGTTGTAGTGTCAAAAAAGCCAGCTCTTTCTCGTCAAATTGTGTTAAATTAAAGCTCAGATTCAGGTCTAACATGAGTAACAGAGCTTCAGACAATGCAGTGCTTTCAGTTAGCATCACACCGTCAGGGAATGTTGAGGAGATCAGCTGCAAAGTATCAGTAGCGTGACTTTGCCTTGTTTGTTGTTTGTTGGTTCCAGGAGTAAAAACCAGGAGAAGGAGTGTGTGGTGGACGCCTCGGGGAAGCACTGTGACATCCACCTGCCCGGCTTCTGGCAGATCGCACACTTCCTGCGGGTCACCGAGACCAACGCCCTGGGCTCACAGAGCACCATTATCTTCTTGAAGCTCCATGACCTATGTACGATCTGTTCTCTTTTCAGTGTGTCTATAACAGGGTGTCCAACCTTTTCCTCCGGTGAGCTACCTTTTCAAGATGAAAAAGCCAGAAAGCTACTCATGTTAGTGGCCGCAAGAAATTGAAATCTTACACGCAATAAGAGCTGTTAGATGGTGCAGATAACGTTTACACAGTTATTATCCATTTATTAGTGCACAAAGATAGGCATCAGGATTATACATTTTCAATGATAATGGGGCATTTAATCAAATTTGAGTTATTCAGCACAATACATATGATTCAGAAATCCTTTGGCGAGCTACTTGGAAGAGGGTGGAGAAATACCAGGAGCTCCCGAGCTACAGGTTGGAGATCCCTGGTCTATAACAACTACATGCAACTGTTTTATCATGTCCGTTGTATCTTTAGGCAAGACACTTCACCCACATTGCCTAGTATCAAAGTGGTGTGCATGCATAGACCATATATATGAGTGGACATAGCTAATGCGCTGGCCGCCACGTGCCAAATAGGAAGTTCACCAGGAGGCTCTTCCGGCTCCTTCTGATTCTGGCTCCAATTGATTTACATTAGGATCTTGTCTTCACTCTCTCTGTTACTGCTGCAGTGAACCTCGTCATTTTGGTCTTAAAATGTTCGTATTAACCTGTGACACATGATCCTGATTTTTTTTTTTTTCGCTCTCTTTTGTTTGTCAAAAAAAATTCTATTCATAACATAGAGCCTGACTCCAGATTCACTCCTGTAACTGTGAACATTGAATGCTATGGGTGACGTCACACTCGATTAGTCCACTTCTTTTATACAGTCTGTGTGTGTGTGTGTGCGTGTGCGTGCGTGCGTGTGTGTGTGTGAATGATTGGTGGTGGTCGGAGGCGTCGATGGTGCAGTTTGGCACTCTGCCCCAGGGAGGCTGTGGCTACAGTTCTAGCACTGAGGTGCACGTCACTGAGTGTGGAGTGAATGAATAATGACTACAGTGTATCACATTGAGGGGCTTTGACAAACCTGTAAAGTGTCAGGCGTGTTATTATATTATTTGTTCCTAGTGTAATATAGGGAATATGTTTTGATCACTGCAATCAGTTCAAAATGTGAAAAACAGAATTGGTTCATTTTGAAGACAGTAAAAATCACATTTAATTGTGCCGGTGACAAAATATGTGTGTTTGTGTGTGCTCACAGTAAAACCAGACCCTCCAGAGTCGGTGGCGGCAGAGGCAATAGAGGGGTACCCCACCAGGCTGCATGTGTCCTGGAGCTTCCCCTCCTCCTGGCATGAAGACAGCATCGCCTTCCCCCTCACCTTCCAAGTCCGATACAGGCCCCAGGGATCTGCTTACTGGTCAGAGGTATGGAACCAATCATGCTGAAGGGGGGTGATAAATGTACGTCTGTGGCGGAATTATTACTACTTACTACTACCAAGCACTACTTACCAAGGTGACACAATGCACACATTACTAAAAAACAACCAAATCTTGTTTAACAGTAAAACCTCACCTGTTGTTGTAGTTTCAACTAAACCAGCTCTTTCTGGTCAGATTGTGTTCAAATAAAACTCAGATTAAAGTCTAACAACCCTCAGAAAGAACAGGGCCTACAGTTAGCATCACACCGCTAGGGAATGTTGATGACATCAGCTGCAAAGTATCAATTGAGATAATGGAAAAAAAAAAAAAAAAGAAAAACATTACAGTTTTCTCTGAGCCAAATCATCATGATTTCAATTTGATCTTGATCTTTTATAGTCCTTATGAGATAACTAAAATTACCCGCTGTTAACTGCAAGTGTCTGTTTCTGATCATAGAGCTGCATTAAACAAAAAGCTGTTAATCACAGAACATGATCTTTTTTCTATCAGCAAATTTTCTTGGGCAAAATGTATCTCGACCCAGTGCAGATATATTGTGATATACTGTGTAAAAAGCTCACACGTCAAAGTGAGTCTGCTGTATGCTAGTTGTTACCAAGCTGTGAAAAAAATGAATAAGTGAATAATTAGGCTGCTCGGAATGCATTAGGTAAGTGAGAAATAACTCAGGACCACTGCAAACTGTTTAAAATGAACTAGTTCTGTTTTCCACATTTTTAAGACTGTAAAAATCAGGTGCAGGTGCCTTTCAGTCATTTTTACAAGTTAAGATTGATTAAATGTGCATTGTAACTTGGCTTTGTCTACAGTGTTCTACATTATGGCATTAAAAGTATCAAACTTCACTGAACAATCTCAAGTGTTTTAGTGTTTCAAAGACATGCAGATCTGACCTGTAACTTATTTGGCCAAGTGCCATCATCTGCTTGTGTGCTTGGACGTAAATAAGTTTAATGCCATACTGTGCAACAGTTTGAAAGTGAAAGGCCACCAGGCCAAGTTATAGGTCAGATCTCTGGAGAAGCGGCTTTGGTCTCAAGATTTCCAGAACAATAAAAACACGCAAGATAAAATCATTACAAGCCATACTGCGGGACGTTCCAGACAAATGTATGTATGATATTGTATTGATATTGTTATGGAGAAAGGAGATGACTGACCCCCAGCCAGAAAAGTTACACACATTTAAATAGTTAAATTAGTCTGTCACTCATAGCCAGACTGATAGTCTAAATTTAAATCATATAAAAGAGATAGATTTTTCCAGACATTTTTACCAGTGCACTGCTTGCTCAGAATAATATTTACCATGAATAATAAAATAGAATAAGTCAATGCTTCTTTTCTCACTCCTGGCTCCTGCTTCACAACAGTTCATCAGACTCTTTCAGCACCTTCTAAGTTTCACTTTTAGTTAGGTCAGTGTGACCCCAGGCTTAAGCCAAAAACAATACATTTGTGTTGATGAGGCGTTTGTGTGGGCTGCACTTGGATTTCACTGCTGTTTGTGTCCCTCCTCAGATGTACTCTGATGAGAGCCAGATCGTCATATACGACGCACTGATGGGGCACGTCCACCAGGTGGAGGTGCGGGCTCGGGACGAGGTCAATCCATCGTCCCATTGGAGCGAGTGGAGCGCCCCGGTCTATGTACAGCCCTGGGAAGGTCAGTAGCAAAAGTTCTACAAGTTCTTTAGTTTTTCAAAGTATTCATATTTCCATCATAATCCACAGTGTGTGGCACTAGGGATGGTCTGATTTGAATTTTTTTTTTGCCAACCCCACACATTTATGCCAGGAACCATATGTAAGATTTTGATTTTAAAGTCCATAAACATGACGTGTGTCCCCAGATAGGTAGATATGTTTAAATCAGTAATAACAATATAATCTTTGTTTACAAAGTCCTGTACACTGAGCAAAGAACAACAATACAAAAATCATAAAGACACAATGAATTGATAAACATGAAGTTTAAGATGTGATTTAAAAAATGGTACTGATAACACTAGCCTTATCTCCTTAAGCAGGTCATTCCAAAGCCAAGCCACCCTGACCATGAAGACGATCAGAAAACAGAATGAGAATCACATAAGTCTATCATTTGACTTGTCAGATTCATTGATGATGGACACTCTCTAGTTTAAACTGTCATTACCCAGTACCTGCAGTTAATCAAAAATAATAACAAAATTTATTTTCTTATACAAATAAATAATAAATCATTTGTTGTAGCCATACATTTTTTGCTTAAAGGTCCCATATTACACAAAATGGATCCTTGTGAGCTTTAAGACATGATATAATGTTGCCTCATCAAAAACATAACCAAAGTTGTAGTTTGTTTCATTCACACATTTGAATAATCCATTATTATGTCATTATAGTCTACATCTCCACATGACATCACGAGGTGGAACTGTTTCCTGTTTGAGAGTTGAGAGTTGTGTGTTAAACATGTGCGAATGAAACAAAACACAACTGCAGGTGTGTCTATGATGAGGAAACAACAGAGCAGAAAGGAGCGTAATATTGGCCCTTTAATCTGCTTGATCAAAAATCGGTACCCTGTCATCAACCAACAAGAAGTCTGTCTGTTGAAAATAAACATTGATGTAATAAAGGCACACACATGTATCACCTGCCACACCTTTTCTATGTAGCATTTGACCTTCATAGTACATTTGTTTCCACTCATTATTACTGGTGTGTGTTACAGACGACTCCACGCTTGAACCCACAGACGAGGATGTAACACCTGAAATATTTCCTATTTCCACAAAGCCTGAAACCTCTACAGCCAGGTCACACAGTGAGTACAGCCCCGTGACAGACCTCTGATCACAATTTGTTCAATGTTGTTAGATCGTTTGTCCACTGATCCAAAGGCTGGTGGTTCGAATTCCGCTCTTAATGCAAACATAATTAGTTGAGCGGTCAAATCCAGTGACCCACAGGTTGTGATTCCAGCTCCCACAGATGAATGCTGTTGTTGTATCCTTGGGCAAGACATTAAACCTACCTCGCCCCCAGTGTCTGCGTACACTGGTGTGTGAGTGGGTGAGTGGTTCCTTGTTGTAAAGCGCTTAGCCTTGAAGGTGGAAAAGCACTATATAAAAATGTGACCATTTACCAATACTATAAGTGCACAGTACTGGTGTTATTGAAATGTCCAAATTCATTATTTTTAAATCAGTTTTGTGTGGGATTATTGTTTTGTGCTTCAATACAAAAAGGGTGCCTGTTTTATTTATATATGTGTGTATGTATGTATGTATTTATTTAGTCTGTTTACTGTCTAAACATCTAATTATAATGCATTTTATAGTTCGATAATCAGAAAGTGAAAGAAGTTGCATGTATGTATGTATGTATGTATGCATGTTTTTATGTATGTACGTGTGTATGTAGCATGTACTGTATGTATGTATGTATGTATGTATGAATGTATGTATGTATGTATGTAAGACCCAAAATTGCAGTGATAATAAACTTAACCAACTCAAGGCAACACATTTCCTACACAGTCATCAATTCTACCATAAACAATAAAAGCATCTGAAGCTTACCCATTAATAATAATGATAAGACATTTGATCTATATTGCACCTTTCAAGACATTCAAAGCGCTTTGCATTGCATTACCCATTCACTCCAATCTCAGTAGTGGTAAAGTGCTATTGTAGCCACAGTTGCCCTGTGGCAGACTGATGGAAAGGAAACTGCCAAGCCGTGTCATCATTAATAATGTTTTCTTTGTAAAAAAAAAAAAAAAAAAGATACTACTCAAATAGAGTCTTGTGAGTTTTAAGCCAAGTTAAAAGCTGTTAAAATGTAATCAGAGCTGTGTTTTGTTTCATTCACACGTTTTCATGCACACATCCTGCATTATTAGTCTCTGTTCCACCTTGTGATGTCATGAAGCGGAAGTTTTAAAGTTAACAGCTGTGACGGGGATTTATCTGGGAAAAGTCCAGGGCTGTTTTTTGATCCTAGTCCGCCCCTGTTACCACATGACATCACAAGGTGGAACCGACGTTTGAGAGAAGAACACAATCAACATTTGCAGGGTTACATGTGTGAATGAAACAAAACACAACTCCAGGTATGTTTGTGACTGTATTTTGTTGTTTTTTTAACTTTTAGCCATGTTCTAAAGTACTTTCATCATCAAAAACAATCACATGTTTGCGTAATCCTGCAAAGCTCAAAATGTTCAATTTATTCACCAGGCTCATTCATTTCACCTCTCAAACCCCCTTCACTGTACCGCACATCTAATAAAGCTCCACATTAGCAGCTACTATTATTAACCTGATTCAGACTGCTTCACTCATCTGTGCCCTAGCATCTGAACCACTTTTTTTTCCCCTTTGAGAAACATATCTAACCTTTAATGCGCCCCCACCTCCCTAAAGAGCTCTGTTTACTGTTATTATAAGCTGATGGAACAGTGCAGGTAGCTCTCGGCTTCATCACCAAATGACACATAATTGGGGTAAATTGCAGCCGCTGGATATTTTGTTTTGTACAGCATATACTCCAGATGAAAAGTACACATCCGTTCACTCAACACAAGGGCAAACAAGATGAAAACAGGCTCCGCACAGTCGCATTTGGACAAAAAGTAGTACACAAATCCAGCGAGAGGTGAAAATGTTGACAGTAATTAATATCTCAGGAAATATTTGTATAATTCTTATGATAGTAATAGGGCTGGGAATCACAGGGTCCCTCATGATTTGATATGATACATGATACATAGCTCATGGTGCAATATATACAATAAATGGTAATACATGCCATCCTTTGTTAACCCTTCCAGACCTAAGGGCATTTTTAGTACATCTGTCCTCACCTGGATTTTTTTCTTAATTTTGCTATTAAAACTCCTCCGTTTAACCCCCTTTTTCAGTACAACCTGTTATTTCACTAAACAAACATATATAAACACATTTTTGGACCTAAAACATGCTTAATTTAGGGCCTTAGCTACAAAAGTGCAAAATATCAAGTCTGTAAGTAAACTAAAAATATCCTTATTGCCCTCAAAACAAAACAAAAAAGTGCAGTTGCCCCTTTACTTTACTGGTGCCAGTTATGGAAAGACCTCCCGAAAAGTACAGGGCATAGAGCCAAAATCACTTGTAGTGCATTTCCATAGTGTTTATTACATTTACATTTATTACAGTTAAAAATAGCAAGGGATGTGCAATTACGCAGACCACGATGCATAATTTGCTATTTATTTGAGACATAACAGCACTTAGAGCTGCTTTTTCAATAGGAGGGTTTCAGTCACGTGATCACAACAAATATATTAGGCGTGACCCTGATCTTATTTTCCTAATTTTCAACCGAAGTAAAAGATTTGCCAACAATCGAGGCAGAGGAGATCACCAACTATTGAGCTCTTCAGACATCGTTCTACACCAGACAACAGATGAAGGCGTACAAAAGTTTGGAGGCATATAGCTTTTTGTCAGTGGATGGGTCCTCAACCTTGGTGCAAAACGCCTAAATGATGATTATCGTTTGGTCTTTGCCGGGGTGAGTGTTTCTCTTATTTTATGTGTATAGACTGTTATGGGAAAAACTGCAGTGTATCGGCACTAACCTCTATCTGAACTATTTAATGTCAACAAACGTCGTTAGCCGTTAGTCGTTAATAATTCGTTTATGTTTAGATAAACCACAAAAAACAGTTTATCTTTGTAACAAACCTTGGACGAAGTGTTCACTGCAGACACGAGCATTAGCGAATTCTGCTCCTCCCGACCGCAAACAGGTTTGTAATCCACTTTTTACGCCGTTGTTCTGTCAGCTTTTCCCATTTCTGACCTTTGTGGACGACTATATTCGGTACTCTAAAAAAATCTCTTTTCCTTCTCTCGGTTAGAACAATTGGCACAGCCGTAAACTACATAACACATCTGCATTTTTCTCCAGTCAGTTCACTTCCTGCCCTCCATCTGATTTTGCGTGCTGACAAACGTAGCCCTGTGACGTCACGTGAAACCCAGCTATTGTTAGAAGCATTGACGCTCAGAGCAGTCAACCATCTTGACTCACTACACTCTTTGGCAAAGTTTGGGCCAATCAAAATGGATGGAGTGCATGCGTTTGACGGAAAACAAAGTTCCTATTGGACATTTGTTTTCCTGACGTCATCACGCAGTGTGTGACGTAGGATAATGCCGGAGATATGCTCGGAAAGCCGAAAGTCTTATCTTTCAAAGAGAAAAAAAAGGAAAATAAGTTTCTATCTTATATGGTTGTAAAGTTATGCACGGTTATATAAAACATATTCGCCTGTGTCATATAAGACATTTCTGGTCTGGTTAAAATACTACTTGTGCAAACTTCATATGAAATACATCTGTTTTAATCATCAGAACAGTGAATATGTCAAGTGTATTGCACAAACAAGTTTCCTTCCACTAAATAAGCAAAACAATTGTAGTACAGTCACTAGGCGTGTGCAAAAATATTGAAATACTGATAAAATACTGGTTTAATTTGATGATACAGTATCGATATTGTAAGCTGCTGTATCGATATATTGCCAAGAGTATATTTTGGTATATTTTACTAAATTATTTTGTGTAAGAGCTACAATTGTGTTGACATTTTCACTGTTTTGAGTAAAATGGGCATTTTTTCTATAAACTTTGCACAAACTTAGTGGACTTTGTAGACTTTTAGTATCACAGCCATGATTTAGCTTTGTTTTTCACTGAATCGTATCAAATCGTATTGGATTAAAAGTGCACTGTATCAAAAAGTGTATCATATCGTGGCCAATGTATCGAGGTAACTTCTTAATGATATCCAGCCCTAACAGTCACAAAAAAAAGTGAAAAGATACCAAAAAACATTTAATATACATCAATACAGTAGCCAACTGTTTCACCAAATTTAGTATCAGGATATTTTGATATTTTTGCATTTCATCTCAAATGTGATCCAGCATGTTTGTAAAAGTCTTAAATGACGCCCGAGTATGACTCAAACTGTAAATGGACTGGAAAATTAGTACAGAAATACCACTTGTGTAATTCTTGTAACTTTGTTTAAGTTTACACAAGAACGCTTGTGGGTAAAAACGACTAAATATTTTATCGGAAGTGCCTTTCGTTTAGACGATGACTGTGTTTTTGGGGCTTAAAAATGCAAAAATCAAAAACCACCCTCCAAGTGGAAAAGTTGAATACGCTCCCCCGTAGCATTTCTGTCTACACTACCCAAGACGCAAAACTCTGGTCAGATCTGCTCACGTTGCATACGCATTTAGGTCACATACATACAGAACACAGAAACAAATGTCCCAACATATGTACAGATGCATAGATAGTATTCGTGAACAGAGAGGGATCTGCGATTACAATGGACGAAACCTGGAGAACCAGTCGATGGTGGGACAACTTTTTGGAAGGAATAGCTGATGAAAATGCTTGAAAACTTCTGTATGTCCAAGGATGCCCTTGTTGTTTTAAGTGATTGCTGTCTGCCATGCATACCCAGTCAAATTCCACACAGTTTTGCGTCACTGTATGCACGCAGATTTCCTCCCGAAAACGCTAAAAGTGGAATAAATAGTGAAGACGCGACGCCACTTTTGCGTCTTCTGTTCAGGCCGTCATCATATAAACGTAGCCTAACTTTGCATTTTTTTCAAAACACCAGTTCAGTACTTGGTAAATAAATGGTGGCTCTCAACTTGTGGGTCAGGACACAAAAAGTTAGTTTAAAGCTGCAAGTTTATTGTTTAGTTGTTTTTTGTTTTTTTCACCAGTAATAATGTTTCCCCCC